GACACTGAGGGTTGCGATCCGTTGCCGGACACGAAAAAAGACAAAAAGAAAAAAAAAAAAAAAAACCCAAATAACCAAATTAAAAAATGGGCGAGTGACCTGACAGACATTTCTCCTAAGAAAACATACAATTGGGCAACAGACATATGAAAAAATGCTCAACATCACTAATCTTCAGGGAAATGTAAATCAAAACTACACTGAGATATCATCTTATCCCAGTTAGACTGGCCATTATTAAAAAGAGTGAAAATAATACATACTGGCGAGGATGCAGAAAAAAGTTCACTCTTAGTGAGAACATAAATTAGTTCAACCATTACGGAAAACAGAACAGATTCCCCAAAAAACTAAAAATATAACTACCATATAATCCAGCAATCCCCCTGCACCCCTATATTTATTGCAGCACTATTCTATGGAATCAACCTAGGTGTACATCGGCAGATGAACTGATAAAGAAAACATGGTATATATACACAAGGGTATATATACACTCAGTCTTAAAAAAGAATGAAATCCTGTCATTTGTGGTAACACAGATGAGCCTAGAAGACATTATGTTAAGGGAAATAAGTCAGATACAGAAAGACAAATACCACATATTCTCACTCATATGTGGGAGATTAAAAAACAATAAGTTGAACTTTTAGAAGTAGAGAGGAGTACAAGTAGAAAAAATGAGTTCTAGTGATCAACAGTAGTGATAAGCATCTATAATTAACAATAATTTATTGTATGCACTCAAATTGCTAGAAAAGAGATCAAATGTTCTCATCACAAAGAAAGGATAAAGTTTTGCAATGATGAATACACTAATTACCCTGATTTGATCATCATGCATTGTATACATGCAATGTATAACCAATACGTTTCAATTAAAAAATAAATTCCTTTAAAGAAAATAAAATAATTAACATGAGGGCTGAGCCCGTGGCGCACTCGGGAGGGTGCGGCGCTGGGAGCGCAGCAGCGCTCCCGCCGCGGGTTTGGATCCTATAT